TAGTTGGATTTATTACATAGTCATGTATCCTAGAAAATGTAGCTCTGGATATGAAAATGGGAAAAATAAGCGAAGAATAAAAATTAATTAATTCAATCTGAGGGAGCTCTTGCAGAGAGTTCAGATTCTATTGATAGTGAAGAATTTGAAGATTTTGTGAGTGAGGAACCTAGTCATGAAACTAGCAATGAGCACGAGTTGTATGAGTAAATGGATTGAATTGGAAAGTAAATTTCGATTTGAGATTTTTCATTTGTGTGTTTGTGTTGGTGTTTTTGATTTGTTTTGTGATGTTCTCTTTTTTTTTCTTTTTCAATTACTCTGTTGAGATTAATTGGTGACGCCATACCCAAACCAGGTTTGAGTGGCACCAAACCAATTTCAACCCCCTTCCCACTGACTAGCGTGGAATTGTTACATATTGCCTCGTCGTTGGTTACTGTATCCACCTTTGCTCTAGGAATTGGTTTGCTAGTTCATGATAATGGTAAATAAGAAATCAAATTGAAGCAAGCAAAGGCTGAAATTATAGCTGAGGTGCAGAAAGTGAAGGTTGACACCATTGCGGAGTTGAAGAAGCTACAGTCAATAAAGATTGACACCATTTCTCTGACTGCAGCTTCTTCAACTCCGCAGTGGTGTCCACCTTCACTTTTTGCACCACAATTGTAATTTCATCCTTTGCTTGCTTTAATTTAATTTCTTCTTTACCATTATCCTGTACTAGCAAACCAATCCCCAAAGTAAAGGTTGATATAGTAACCAACGACGAGGCAATATGTAACAATTCCACACTAGTCAGTGGGAAAGGATTGAAACTAGATTGGGGACTAAGAGGCGAAGAGATTTGTTGTTAGGAGGTTTTGGGGAAAGTGGTTCAGTTATTCATGAACGTAGAGGTCGTCTGAGTTTGTCAAAGATTGATGTACGCAGAGGTGGTGATGACACTAGTGATGTTGATCTTGGCCCATCGATTTCAGAGGTTAGTGTTAACAAAGAGGAAGTTGATCGTAGAGGATCATTTGTTATGGATGCAGCAGAATTTTCTAATGTTTTACGAAATGTAATCATCAGTGTAAAAAATAGTGATGTGACTCAAGATGTAATAGTTGATGATAAGAGAAATGTAGTAAGTAAATAAAATTTTGAGTGGTTTCATAAATAAAATTAATAAAATTTTTCATTAATCATGACAGTGGTTACATTAACATCAAACCATTCTCTCATTTTTGGGAACATTGCATCTAACCAACTACTGTCCCCATTTGTTAATAAAATACAAGGAATTCCTCCTCTAATAGTGAGATCTGATTGGAACTTAACAAATACATGGAAATCTCTCTGGCAGCCTACTAAATTCTTCATTAATTCAGTAAGGACTGTCGAGTATTTGATGTCGTCTATGACGTTGTAGACGGCGTCTTGGTCGTAGTCCTTGAAGCTTATTCTGCCAGAGAAGTAATTGTGTCGTCAGAGGCTTCTGGCCCAGGCGATTTTGCCTGTTCTTGAGGGTCCTTCGAGGTAGTGGGAGATTGGGCAGATGGGCCTCTGCTCTGGTTCCTGTTATCAGAGGAGGAGAGTTCTTCGTCAGTATATAAATTATTGATATTGTTTTTGTGTATCCCTAATCTATGGAAGTCGTCTTCCCTCCAAACGGAGAGACAGCAATTTTGACATAACTCGTACTGAACGAAATTTCGACTCACAAACAAAATATTATTTTCTGCCCATTTTTTTACTTCATGTAAGAAAGGAAATGAATTAAAGAGGCTAGTAAATGGGGGCCTCTCTCTTTTGTAATGATCCCTCGAAAATATTTTTAATTGGGGGTATTTTGTGACGTAATCGGTGGGACATCTTTCTTTACAGAGAGCAAAGAATTGTTCCTCCGTTTCTGCTTCGCCAAGTATCGTCTTCCAGAGTTCGTCTCTGTTTTTCGAAGGACTTCTCCCCTTTGATGAAAATCCATTCGACGAACTCGCCCTCTTTCTGTATATACTGTCTACTTGCTGTTGGGGAGTGGAGTTTTTCTATATTTGGATGGTAGATCCTCCCGTTGGTTCCAGTGAGATCGAAAAATCTCGAGTTTGAGGTTTGGATCCTCTTCGTGCATTGAACCATGGCATGAAGGTGAGGGTTTCCATCTTCATGGAGCTCCCTTGCGCCAAGTATGTAGTATGGCTAGCAGGCTAGTTGGAGAAGAGATTGTAGGAGTTCTAGGAGTTGTTCTTTTGGGTATGGGCATTGTGGGTAAGTGAGGAAAACATTCTTGGCATAAAAACGGAAAGAGGCTTGGCGAGGCATTTTGTAGTGGTAAATAGTGAACTCACACCAGCCGTACAAGACCTCCCTATTAGTTAAAAAACCTGGTGTGAGTGGTGTGACTGGGGGGCGTTGTATTAATATTACCAACGCCCCCCTCCCTCCCGCTGATATGAGCCGTCCATTGCTGTACTTATGGACACGTGTATGAATGTAGTAAAAAGGAAGTCACACCCGGGCCCAGGTGTGAGTGGTGTGAGTACTTTTGATTCCTTTGCCAGATAGTGCTATACACGTGTCGCTCTTTTGGTGGTTTGTGTGGCTGTAAAGAAAATATTTTCTCCAGAATGATAGACATAAAGCAAAGGCAGGAAAATAAATGCGTTTGAATTATTTTGAATGGGAAATCTTCGTCCTTACACGCGAGCCAGTTTTGCTATATATTTGGTACCAGAAAATATTTTTTGGCATAGAGAAATATGCTTTTGCAGTGGGATAGCTATTGTGGTGAAGTTGCTTTCTGGTACCTTATTTCGTCCCTCCTTTTCTTTTTATACAATGTTGTACTCCTTAGAAGAGTATCCCGAGAATTACGGGCAGTTCACTCAAATGTGTGTAGATCGCTTTTTGACGTGGCAAATAGGGCTGTGGGAAGAGAGCCTGCGGTCAGCTCCGGTGAAGTTTGTTTCGGTGTACGAGGAGCAGAGGGCAAATATATCAAAGCTAAGGTGTCTGAACAGAAGGGTTAGCAGAGGTAAGAGAATCAACAGAATTTGTAGGATAAAAGATTTGGAGTGTTTTATAAAAAATGGAAAGAACAGGAAGCAGCTAGTATCGAACCCCCTTTGCGTACCGGAGGTCAAGGACACCGGCGGTCAGTGGATATAAGCGGAGTTACCTTGGTCGTGCACTTTTTAAGGCGGCGTACATTCACTAACGGTACGTTCAGAATATTCCACGTTATACTAAAAAGATTAAGAGGGGAGTAAGGAAGTTGCAGTTGTACAATGGGGAAAGTGGGTCCTTTCCATACTCAAACTTGGTTTGGGTATGGCGCCACCAATTAATCTCGACAAAGTAACAGAAGATGAAAAAAAAAAAATCACAAAACAAAACCCAACCTCCACAAACACAAACACAAACACACACACACACACACAGAAATGAAAAATCTCAAATCCAGATTTACTTTCCAATTCTATCCATTTGCTCATACAACACGTGCTCATTGCTAGTTTCATGACTAGGCTCCTCACTCACAAAATCTTCAAATTCTTTGAATCTGAAATGTGTGCAAGAGCTCCCTCAAATTGAATTAATTTTTTTTATTCTTGGATTCTTTTTACCATTTTCATATCCAGAGCTACACTTTCTGGGATCCATCATTGTATAATAAATCCAACTAGAATAGAAATTCAACCCACAAAGATTATTTGAAATTCAACCTTCAACCCACAAAGATTATCTGAAATTCAACGATCAATCCAACAGAAAACCCACAGAAATTCAAGCAAAACAAAAGGATGAAAGAGTTTTTAAAAAATAAAAATTAACAAAATAATGGCAAATTTATTCACCCAAAACCAAACACACAGATTTATTGACCCAAAGCCTTGGCAAAATTCACCTGAAAATGAAGCTAATACGCAAATTTCACTGAAGGCAGAAGGAGGAACAAGAAAAAGGCATCAAAACAATGAGCAACACTCCATGGCTGTGTAATGAATCCAAATAGAAGAGAAATTCAACCCACAAGGATTATTTGACATTCAACCCGCAAACCAACATGAAACCCACATAAATTTGCCAACAATTGAACAGATTATCTGGTTCAAGCAAAACAAAAGCATGAAAAAGTATTAAACAATTAAAATTTACAAAATACTGGCAAATTTATTCACCCAAAACCTTGGCGAAATTCACCTGAAAATGAAGCTAATACGCAAATTTCACTTAATTGAAGCCAAAAGGAACAGGAAAAAGCCATCGAAAATAGTGACCAACGCTCCGTGATTGTATAATGAATCCAAATAGTAGAGAAATTCAACTCACAAAAATTATCAGAAATTCAACCCACAATCCAACAGGAAACTCACAGAAATTCAACAACAATTGAACAGATTATCTGATTCAAGCAAAAAAAAAGCATGAAAAAGTTTTTAAAAAATAAAAATTAACAAAATGATGGCAAATTTATTCACCCAATACCAAACACACAGATTTATTTAATTACATATTTATAGAGAAATTAGATTTACTATTTTTATGGGTTCAATCAAAGGAAGAAAATCAAATATAAAATAAAGGAGTGGGGTTTTAATTTAGGGTTTTAAGTGAAGAAAGCGTGTTTATATAATCAAGGGTAAATTATACTTTAGTCCTTGTATTTTAATTATTGTGTCATTATAGTTTATGTAATTTTAATTCACTCGATTTTGACTTTGAATTTATAATTTTGTCTCAATTTAGTCCAATTGAATAAAATTGTCAACATTTTTTAATAAAAAAATAAGCATATAAGTGGGCATATGTCATGATTTTATAGACAAAATTATAAATTTGCTCAATTCAGTGAGTTAACCTCAATTAATTTAGTAATAATTTTTTCACAAAAACACTAAAGGTATTATCAATTTGACCAAATTGACACAAAATCTAAAATTAAAGGTCAAAATTGAACCAATTAAAAGTGTAGGGACCAAAATGATACGAGACAATTATTTTTACTGAACTTTTTTTGTATTTTAGTAAATTATTTTTACTTTTTAAATGCATTTAATCTAAGAGCCTATTTGATTCCAGTATTAGAGCATAAAATTGGATTGTTAATCCAATGATATGCATATTTTTACGTTTGGATGACATAAATGATGGCCGGCCAAGTAATACGTAGTACTTCTAATCCCACAAAATCAAGGAATATTCAATACTATATGGAGATAAGTATTAATAATCCTACACATATTTATCCTACTAATTGAGTTGCACAGTCAATCTATTACTCCAAATCAAACAGGCCCTAAATGTACTTTTTATTACCAGTTCCAAAGAACGGTGAAAGCTTCTCTCTCTAGGAGATTTCCAGTGGTACTCCAATGACCACCTCACACTTTTAAAGTGTAGTTTAATCCACACTCCTAGGTAGGACTGCAAACAAGCCTAGTCGAGTTTTGCTGAGCTCGAACTCAACTCATTTGCTTACCAAACTCATTTATTGAGCTCACGCTCTGCTCAATAACTAACTAGGTTCGAGCTCGAGTTGCCTCGTTAATATTAATGAAAATCGAGCATGGCTCAAAAAGATTTTTTATTATTATTTATATTATGGTATAATGAATGACTTGATCTATTATGAAGTTATCATATAAGCACTGCTCATTGAACTTAATTATATTTTGTTATTGCTTCCGCTATTCCCCGATTATATATAATGATATGATTTTGTTATTGAGGCCAAAGGTAATCTGGAATTACTGGCCGGTCATGACCTAAGCCTCTAGGGGCGGGTTTGGATCGTGAGATAGGTGGTAGTTAAAGTTCACACGGTATGTATGCAGGAATCATTTGAAGTCCTGATATGAAGAAAAATGCACTGACTACAGTTTGATTCAGACCCATTTAATATGGTAGTTGACAAAAAAAAACAAAAAAACACAAAACAATAGAAGACCCCAACTCATTAGATACAAAGATGAAATCCAAATTGATTGATATTTTAAAAAAAAAGCAAGTGCTATTCCATACAAAAGAATGCAACACGACCCACAAAAAGAAAACCTAAAGAAATTAAGAAAATTAGATAATGGTCATGGTTTATAATAGATGATGGGAGGAAGAGATCTACTTCCTCAATTTGAACTTTGTTACTTGTACATGAGTGGAAGGCACACACGGAGATGAAAATGTAGAGGGATTATGTCATGATTCTCTCATTCCCTTCTTAATTTTTTTTTCATTGAAGTTTTGTTCTACTGAGATTACTGTTTTCCAGGATGCACAAGGACTTTTGGCCTAGACAAATCAAGTAATGGAACTAAATATATTGTCAACGTAGATAAATTATTAAAAGCAAAATATTTACATACAAATCATGAATCAAGAAGTCTCAACAATAAGCAAGGGTCCTTCCCAATATATAATAGTTTCTTTCCAAAAATGGCAATTCAGAAAGCTCTTTAAAAGCCTCTCAACAATGTATGTGTCTTCTGGTAAGTAAGTTATTGACGTTTCTTTTCTTTTCTAGTAAAAGTGAGTTTCTCTTATCCTCTTCAAAGATTGTAACAGAATGATGTAGGATTTGGCTGGGTAAGGAACCAATCAAAAAACACTACCGAAAAATCCTTGCTTGATCCAAGGACAGGCCATCAGTTTTTATTTGATTTGATTTTTGTTTCTAGTTTCTGAAACATATTTGAATGGTTAGTAAATTAATCTATCTACCTATCTAAACCATTAAAGATGGGAGAAAAATAACACTTACAACTTGGCAGCGCGACAACCGACATAACCTCCAGCAATAACGGCGGGAATTACCGCAACTGGCACAGTAACAAAAAGTTTCAATACTTGATTTAAAGGCTGCGAATTCAAAAGAATTAAACAAAGATCTATGGAGAACAATCAAGAACGATTAGGGTTTCAAAATATGCCCTAAAATTGACGCACCTCTCCCTCCCTTCTCCTTGTTCGTCGCACCCTCCGTGCCCTACCCAAAAAACCCTAGTCTCCATTTTATAGCCGCGTGCAATAAACTCTTTGTCTGGTTACAGCCCCTTAATTGTCTTGCACCGTGTATGTTTCCAGGTTAACAGCACATACAACTCGAACCTGGTTTGTTCGGCTATACTCATTATAAGCCCATTTTTTAAAAAAGATTTTTGGATACACATGAGTGATTCTATTTGTACCATTACTTTATCTATTTATACCATTTATCCCATTACATCACTAAAAAAAAAAAAAAAAATTTCATTACACCTATTATATTATCAAAATTAATCTTAAAATAAGACTCTTCAAAACCCTTTTATCTCTTTACACCAATCACTTTGCTTGGTTACACTTTTCCAAAAATACTTTTTAGAAAATTCTATTTTTTTGTTTTTCATATTTTTTTTGTTTTTATTGAATTTTTTTAATATTTTAAACAATTTTTTTTTACTTTTTAGACGTACCTACCATAAATATACCTACAAAGTAAAAAATTTGTGAAATTTTTTTTTTTTAAATTCACTAAATACCAAAAATACAAAAAAAAATATGAAAATTCAGTATTTTCATGTATTTATTAATTTTTTTTAAATATTTTTTCATAAATTTTTTACTTTTTAGATACATCTAAGTAAGGTGTATCTAAAAAAGTTAAAAAAAATGTTTAAAATTTTAAAAATATTTACTAAAAATTTAAATTAAAAAAAACACGAAAACTAAAAAACTCAATTTTAAAAAAAACTTAATACAGAAAACTCAAACCAAACACATTGAATAGTTTTTGGAGCAAAAATAAAGGAATAGAGAAGGACGAGCAAGGAGAAAGAGAAAGAGAAAGAGAAAGATGCAGGGAAGATAGTGAGTGGAATCCACAATGAAAGGCATGTTCAGTCACACAATGCTAAACAATTTACATTCCTTCGGTGTTATGTTGCCCGAAAAAATAAATTTCTTCAACGTTTTGTTACTATACATTTATAGAGCCACTTTCTTCCAAATAATAACTTTTAAATTTATGCTAGGCCTGTTCGGTAATACAATACTAATGAATTTGAATTAATTCAGTGTCATGCTACAAGACAAACTTTTTTTCTTAGCAATATGTTGTCATTCGATTGGATGATAACAATAAATTAATTCAGGGCCACTTGTGAAGTAACTGTTCAGTGATATATTGCTATATAAATTAGATTATTCTAGTATCATATTGCCAAACTATTATCATGATGGTTGTTTGGTGATTTACTTTTTCCTTCAAGCATCCATAAATCAAACACGCATTCATAAAATCATACATAAAAAGTATTAATAGAAATATTCATAAAAAATATCAAGTGTATGAATATCCATAAAAGTATTCATAAAATCTGTCATTGTTTGCATTCATCAATCAAACATGTTATCACAATTCGTCTATATCGATAGTTTCGATAACTACTACATTAGGACTGACAAGCGTACGGAATTTATGAATACGGGTAGTATATGCCTTCTCCCATCCACTAGCACGCGGGTGATGAAAACGAATCTAATTATTTGCTATCAGATCAGTATGACCAGGTTGCAGATAAACTTATAACAAACATCAATAAGTAAAATTACAAAATAAGACATGGTAATGATCTAAGTAAGCTTGGCAGTTTATACTTGCACGGAATGGTTTCCATTTACAAACCCTATGTAGATATCTCTTCGATCAGGTATTGCAATCGGTACTAATCTAAGTAGTAGAAACGTCAAGCACTGTTGCATGGATAAATGATAAAGAACAACTCGATAGTATAATACTATCAAATAACCTATGTCGGGCATAGTCATCCAATGATTAAATCCAGGGCTAGGTTTGAAGTAGGATAAGATAGAGGTAAGAGCATCCACCCTTTCTTGTGAACCAAATAATTACACGTAGTGCACTACATTCGAATGTAGCTCAAGTGTAAGTTTTGGTTTTTTGCTATTACCTCCTGCATCTGATGTCTTTATAATAATAACAAATCCAGTCTTCTTCCCAACATCAAAAGCTCATTTAATTAATGCCTGACGACTACTAAAAATCTAAAGATAATAAATACATTTATACGTCAAATTATTAATAAAACTCAATACAAATTAAAAATAAGAAAAAAAAAATCATATTTATAAAAAACTTTACAAATCCCGCCTGTAATGAATTCATGACTGGAGTCCACTAATAATGCAGTACTTGCATTGTTACAATGAATAGAATCCTTCTAACCAAAAAAAATATATATAAAAAAATGAAATTGAAAATACACAGTAATGAGTAGTCAAATAAATTTTAAAAAAAAATCGGCCTTGGCTTATCGGAAATGTATCTTTTATTCGACAGTTGGTTACCATATATATTTTTTGTTCGGAAATATGATGTCGAACTATTTTATTTTGTTTGATTTCGAAACATTGAACAAAAGTCAAAGAATAGTCCAAAAAATAAAACAAAAACCTACCAAACAAATAAAAAAAACTCACCAATTTCACTTTTTGATGATTCTTCACCACCATTTCTTCATCCATTGCTTTCTTCTATGACCAAAACATTGTGATTCTCACTTTTTAAAAAGATGTGTAAGAGAGAAGAAAAATTGAGAAAGAAAGAAAAGAAGTAGGGATTGAAGATTAAAGGGTGTAAGGAGATGATAAAACATATTTAGGGGTTGTTTGGGATGAACTATATAAGCGCACTTTTTGACTTTTTAGATAAAAAATTTGACTTTTTACGAAAAAATGTGTATTAAAATATTATATAAAATAGCAAAATTACTATATTACCCCTAATATCTCTAAATGCGTACTGACAGTGATTGGGACTTATAGCCAGTATGGTGGGTAGCATTCTTCAGAGTACTGTATAAAAGAAACTTGCCTCCAGTTTGAGATCGGATTGGACGACGCTGTTCGGCACGTAGGGGCCCACCACAAGTCCCTTTTTGATAATCGAAACCGTTCAATGTGTAAAATTCGACAAGTACTATATGCTTGTAAAAAATCACATTGATCGAATATCGATACCTATCTCGTCGGATTAGCTTTTTGTCAACCGTTAATTTGTTCACCGTCCATTTTTTTATATAAAACTGATTTGATCATATAGTTATCGATATTTGATCAATGTGATTTTTTACAGCCATATAGTACTCGACAAATTCTACATATTAAACAGTTCAGATTATCAAAACGGGACCTGTGATGGGCCTCCACAAGCAAAACAGCACCATCCTGTATAATTTTTTTGTGCACCCGTGTAATTTGTACCATCACTGGGGACAGACCCATCACTATGTCATGCATTTATGGCTTGTACTTTTTTTTTTGTAAATTTGTTTTTTTTATATATTTTATTTTTGTGAATAGTGATAATTTTTTGATTTTTTTAGTAATTTTTTGACTTTTTGTCTTTTCTAGAACATGCCAAATCAGCCCTTAATTTTAGTGTTTTGTCCTTTCAAGTAATTTTACACATAGATAAAATTAGGGGGGAAAAAAATCTCATATAAAGAGTGTAAAGAGGTAAAATAATAGCGTAAGTAGAATCACTTTAAACTAATTACTAAAAAAAAACACAAGTAAATTACAAATACAGACATGAGCCGATTTTTTGACTATCCACACATATTACCAAACGAAACCTTAATGTTCAATAATTTGAGTTTAAATCAAATGACATTAATTCATTCATTTTAAATTTATCAGTCCAAATGTATTTTTATTTTTATTTTTTTTTTTGAACAAAACAGTGAGTTAAAAAACCCAATTACAAAAAATTTTTTTTTTTGAACGCAAAAAAAAAAAACTCTGAGGATGCTCTGAAGTTGGAGTATTATAGAATTAATATGTATTGATATCAATGATCTAAATCATTCATCATATATAATAAGTTAAAAAGAATATATATACAAAAAATTAAGTTAATCATATATAAATAATCACATTATTAAATCACTTACGCATTATAACAAAATAAACGGTCTATTCTTAAAAACACGTAGGCCTTATAAATAAAAATAATCTAATAATACATGACAATCGATATTTGATTTTTTGCATGAATAATTTTCTTATTTATTATATAATATATACGGTTTAAATTATCGAAATGAATCTAAATTAATTTGATAATAGATTAATTTTACCATAAAGTTGACCTTCAATTTTAACAAGGAAAATGAGTGAGAGCTCTAATTAGAGCTACCACTAGTGATGTGGCAATGGGTCCCACCCACTGCCACAGTTTGTATTGTGTCTATTTTTTTCTTTCTTTTTTTTGCTTTGACACCACATTAATGGTGGGTTTAGAGTCACTAAATTAGTGGTCTCTCGCACTACCGTTTTAACAAATCCGAACTCCAAATAATTACACTAGTTTACAACTTTCTATTGCATATTTCTACAGAAAGCATCCTTTACTCTCTCTATTTTTTAACAAACCTAAAAAACCATATTTTTTTCTCTATTTTTTTTTTCTTTTGTGTTTTTTTTTTTTAATTTTTGTGTTTTTTTTTTAATTTTAGAGTTTTTTTTTAAAAAAAATTAATAAAAATTCAAGTCCATCTAATGTAGAATGATTAAAAAAATTAAAAAACCAAAATATAAAAATAAAATTCAATAAAAAAAAAGATAAAAAAATAGTATATATTTTTGTCTTTGGTGAACTTTTATTTATTTTTATTTTTTTTTTGGGTCTATCTAATAGAGTAAAGCCCAAAAATTTAAAGCTTTTAAGTTTTTTTAATTTACTAAAATGAACTTTCGTTTTAAAAAAAAAATCACTAGAAAAGTTAATCCCAAACACACGAGATTGTTGAACTTCTATAATTGTTAGACTATATGTAATTCTCTTTCAAAATTCAAACAAAGAATTAAGGCAAAAAAAGCACAGTACCTTCATTAATGGGTGCTTCAAAATCTGCCCTAAAAATTGGCAGTTTCATGAGAGAATAAAAGTAATCTCCTTCTTCACTTCCCATGCTCTCTTTCTAGTCCTTCAATTTACCTTTGAGACTACAATCCGTACCGGTAAGAGACATAGTTAATGCTCAACAGCAGAGCATGACCTTGTTTGATAATCCATCACAAAAAAGTAAGTAATCACTTGCTTAATGATATGGTGTCAAAATCTGAGTTAAATGACTTCCTAAACTATCAACAAAAAGTGGGAATCCTAAGGCACACAGAGCAAAAGAAATCATTGAACAAGTCTACCTCTGGCAATAGCATTTTTGACGCTTCAACAACATTAAATTTTGCATTATTACTTACCCACCAAAAACACAAAAACAAAAACAAGAACAAGAAAAACAAAAACATTTGCATTATTAACCATGTAGTCACTACTTCAATAGGGGATAAAGTATAATTACATACAAAATATCAAGATGGCTGCTTGGATTATGGAAGAAACTGAGACTGGTTCATATCTGTCCCAAGATTACATCCCCACCTGAAACCTCAAACTCAGATGGGGCTTTCTCCACATTAAGAACCTTAACCTTCCCATCAACCACATATGCCGACCATCTATAGAGAAAAAAAATTGTTTTGGTTAGAATCTCGTACTTTTAATGTGTAGACAAACAATTTCTACCAATAAAAGACGTAAAAAGGCAGAGGCCAAGTGCGGTGGTTTGAGATGTTAGTCAACAATCACATACCGGTGAGAGCGATGCCCAAGCAAAGCAGCAGAGAGATCTATTCCCAAGTCCAAGCTCTTGTTGAAGCTCCCATCAAAGTCGCCATAAAATTCAATCTAGAAAGTCATAATAGATTATAAAATATGAATGCTTCAGCAGATCAACAATGTCCAATCTCAATGCATGAAAGGGGAGACTCATCAGCAGTACCCATGTTACATGTACTCTTCAACTTTCCCCAATGTATCCATGTCCAACGGATATGACGGGGTGATAGTGTGAGATATGCATTTGACACCCATGCCCAATTTAGGCACTTGGATCTTCTAATTTATATTATGGCGCTGTTTGGGATTCCGAAAAGTAGGCTATTATAGCCTAATTTGATTTTTTAGCCCAAAAGCAACACTGTGCATGGATTTTCAAAAAAAAAAAGAAAATAGGCTGTGGATTTTCAAAAAAAAAAAAAAAAAAGAAAAAGAGAAAAGAAAATAGGCTGCTGCTGGACAAGCCGGACAGTGCCCTATGTTTGGCGAAATTACCATTTTGCCCCTTTATAACAATTTTAAAAAATAAAAAGTTAGGGATAAATCTGTCATTTTAAATTTAAACATCATTTTAACACACTTTTCAATACAATAACTCAACTAAAAAATCATCTCATCTTCCCAAACACAAAAACTAAAATAGCCACTAAAATAACCAAAAAGCCAAATAGCCTACTAAAATAGCCACTTCCCAAACGAGGCCTATGTTTGAAGAAGAAAATGCTCACATTTGCTAGTAAAAAAATATTTTTAGATTCTTACACAAATGAGAGAAATTTCATAATTTTTCTAAATCCTATTTAATATGAAGCATATTTCTAAATAATGTATATAATTTTATCTACGAAATGTATACAGTAGGCAATATATATATGTGTGTATGTGTGAGTGTTTAAGACATGTTCCCATACTCATCTAAATTTTGGATGCATATCCCAACAGCCTAAGATTTAGGTTTAGGAGGATTTGATGCTTGGATATATAATCTGTTAGCAAATATTCGGTTTGGGCCAAATCGACAGACGAGATTCGACAGAAAACTCAGAATTTCACAAACAACAACAAATCAGGCAATTGTGGTTTGAATGTCCTATGCCTTGATAGATTCAAGGACTTCTTTGGAGGTTGCAATGCGAAGAAACAAATGTGAATAAAATGAAAATCGATTGCAGAACAAGTAAACTTGCCACTTAATTACAAGAATTAAATTACAAGCTCAATATACATGACAATCGACAAAGGGGAACTTGGCCACAGAGGCTGAATTCTACACAGACTACTCCTAAATATAAAAGCTATTGCTAACTAAGTTAAATTACTCCTAATTCCATATGAGTTATGTGTTAGATCGTCTTTCTTTCCTTCGAAATTCAAGCCTTTATTCTGCTTCTCTGCTGCCACGTGTCCCATCATGGAGCAAATTCCCTCCACTTCTTGCATAACTACTCATGATCTTCACAACTGCTGGTAACTGCTCCTCTGCTGCAGCACTCATTTTCTTTGCAAATAAACCACGTATCTTGCATCATCTGCGTGCCTAATCTCATAACGTGACACCTGGGCCACGTTTGGCCCCATCTTATCAAATTATCAGAGGAATCGACAGAAGAAAACTGCGTCTGCCATATCTGTTCCTTTAATTGCGTTACTTAGCTCTACATTCTAGGGTACACCTCCCACTGGAAACTTAAGATTTTCACCTCTAGCATCCCTTGGATCAACTCTCTGTATTTGTTGTAGCTATTCGACAGAGATGATAAATTTTAGTGCCAACAATGCCACCCTCATTTAAGACAAAAAGATATTTTTGTTTTGAATGAATATCAGAAAGTACAAAATAAGGCTTGGACATTTATATATTTGGGCGATGCATTTAGGCTTATAAAAACGAACCCACAGATCGAAGCCCAAATATTTAAAGTAACATTCGGACGTTAAATTAAAATTAATATGAATTCAAACAAAAAAGGCCCAACCGTCAAGCCCAATTGGTAGTGACAGGCCCAAACTTAATTAAGAGGGTCCACCATAAGCTATATGAACATTAGAATTCAAATCATCACTTCACCATTCTCATGCCCTCTGCTCTACTCTGTTCTTCACCTTCTGCTTTGAAAACCCTTCTCTTTGCTTGTACACTCCAATGGCACCCAAACGAGCTCAAACCAGAGGAAAGAAACAAGCAGAGATGCCATCGGTGCAACGCTTCCCAACTAAGTTCCAACCAAAACTTCGCCAACATATTTTTAACAGTTGCATTATTCCCAGCAGCAACACCTCTGCCCAAAGGGAATTAGGTCCAACCTTTTTTGCCAAAATCTCTGATGAACTTACCCTCTATTATCCCATTGTAGATACTGAAGTGATGCTTTTCAAAAAAGCGAAACTAGCTTGGAACCAGTGGCATTCGAGCACTAACCCCTTACGTTTGTGGCAAAAACCAAACCCTAATTAGAGATTATGGGTTCATCGCATGATGGTTTACGATATTGACCTTTGGAGAGCTCTTGGCATTTATGATGTCATTCAACTGTCAACACTAGCCCTAGATATGGACAAATGGGCTATTGGCGCTGCAGCTTGTTTTTGGTCTCTGTCCTGTAACTCTCATTTTAAAGTTTGGTATGATCTCTCCCACCATTCTTGATATTGTACATTTGACTGGTCTCCTTGTTACTGGCCAACATAAGTGCCCTTTTAACTCCTCAATCAGTAGTCCCACTTGACACTGACCTCAATTATGGAAAGTTTCAAACAAAATATCAACAATTTTCTGGTGAACCCACCAAAAAAGAAAGGACAGCTTTTTACTTGTTGTGGCTCTCCCAACGTTTTCTATGTGTCCCAAGTCTCAAAATTACCAAAGAGTATTTGGTCCTGGCAACTTGTATCCAAGAAGGCACACAACTGGCCTTTGCCCCTTTTCTTTTGGGCACATTATATAGGGGTCTTTTCTCTTTAGTCGATAAAGAGATAGATCATAATGGTGGAGGTCATTTTTGGCTCTTTCAAGCCTAGCTCTATGCTTATTTTCCTGAAATTAAGCCTACCACTCAAACCCCTTACTTCTCTCCTTGCGAAAGTTATGTTGAATTCTTCTTATCTTTTTGACCAGCCTCATCCAATTCATTTACCAAGGTTTTCACTATTCTATTTGAGCTACCTGTCGATAGAGACCCTCAGCTTTTCATCCCTTTCCATAACTTTCAGTTCACTTCCACAGGATTAACATATATCAATGCTGCTCCTCAAACATTGAATGACACTTAGAGGCAACAACAAAAAGACTTATGGGCTCAAATTCTCATTCCCAAATACATTCTAGTAGGTGGATCCATCTCTACCAGTAGGCTTTCCAACTGTAGCTTCGAAAGCTATAATCCCTGCTAGTGGGCCAGACAAATGGGACTATATCAAATTGTCCCTTGTCCTTACTTACACTCTACCATCCATGAACAAGTGGGATCCAAGATTCAATTCAAAATCTCTCAAGAAGTGAAAGATCTGCTGGCTGAAAATCAAAAGTTATTTGATCAATTTAGCTTTTTCTACTGCCAGATTACCCCCTTTACTATCACAAAGTTTAATGATTGGTGGTCTTTAATGAGTGCCTTGATCTTTGATGAAGATCTTCAGACTTGTCTTTGGAATGTGCACCCAAACAACATGAGAGGAGCAGAGATGACCATTGGTAATTCTACCACTTTTTCCTTTCTTTATGTATACTGCTTACTTTTTGAGTTTATTTAGTCATTTATGCTCACTCATTCATATATATATATATATATATTTTTATATATATGTAGCACAACCTCCTAGCAAGATTACCCCCTGGCTATAGAGATGCCTGCCCAGGCTGATCCAACTCCTAAGGACAAAGGCAAGGCTCCAATGAAACCCCTAAAGAAACCTAAAGGCAATCCTTTAAACACCACTAGCTGTGAGGGGTTCATACCTTACAACCAAGGTATAGAGATTGAGAGGAGGACCAAGAGTAGGCAAGAAAAACTCCAAGAACTTTTACCTTCTCAGTCTCAATTGGAGGGTGGTGTTGCTCTTGAGAGGAGGTCAAAAAGAAGGCAAGAACAACCAATTCCTCCTCAAGTAACAGCTCCTGCTATACCAGCATCCTCTTCCTCTAGCAGTTCTTTTCTTCCAATAAAGGTATAGCTTTCATTCAAACTCTTACTGAGTCAATATGTATTATGTTTCTTCATACTAACACCTTATTCCACTCTTCTTCTTCTCTTTTAGTCATACTTTCAATTATACAAGAGGAGAAAGCTTCTCTCTCCAGCTGCATCTCCTTTTGCTTCTGAGAAATTGCCTGAGGCCCAGTCCATTCCACCTTCTATGCCTGAAGACTAGACAAAAATGCCTTCTCCTCAAACAAACTCAGGGCACATGAATCCTTAACTCACTCAAGAAGAACAGAGTGGTATTAGGGAAAAACAGGCTGATCCATAAAGAGTTGACCCAAAGAGTGGGCTTAAGAGGATTAGCCCCTGAATTGGCATACCTTATGGCTGATATTCCTCACGGGATAGCCCTAGGGGATTTGATGGCCTTACCTCTTAGAGGAGTACGCCATGGAAACAATGAGGTCATAAATTTCCCTGGTGTGGCCTCTTCCTCAGAGGAATCGGAAGCCCTTGGCCATGCTAGAGAGACTCCAATTGACTCAGGTTATGTCAGAGAAAACCCAACTGATTTAACTGACAACCCTGATAGCCAAACATCTCCTATCGACAAGAGTTCTCCTATTCATGAGCCTACCCCTGATCCAAATGATGACACTCATCAAAACAGCCAAATCCCACTATCGAATCAAAGTGATGAAAGTTGACAAGGCTGATACTGAAATCTTGGAGAGTGAATCACCTTTAGATGAAGAAAGAACTTCCCCTGAAGAGATTACTCATCCTTTTACCATGAGCATGGGGGTCCAAACCTCTCACATTCATAGTCCTATCTAGGAACTAACTCCAGAGGCTGTGGTCACCAACACCAACAATTCTATTGCTCAAGAATCACTGGTAATCACCTAATCTTTTCACACATTTTTTTTA